GGTCCGTGGGGACGGGGCGGGGTCTGTGGGGACGGGGCGGGTCCGTGGGGACAGGGCGGGGTCTGTGGGGACGGGGCGGGGTCTGTGGGGACGGGGCGGGTCCGTGGGGAAGGGGCAGCATTTTTTTTTAAAATTGAGGAGATAGCTATTTTCCCCAAAACATAAAGCTTCCTGTGGAAATCTATGGTTAGGATTCTTTGAAAATACAGCATTTACTTACCCTTAACATTGCATGGTTTCTCCTGAACTTCTTCAGCTACTGGAGATACCAACAGTGGGTTGCTCTGAGGACTTCCGGGCTCCCTCCTTCCCAGGAGGCTTTGGCTGGCACCTTTCATGCCTTGCCCACACCTTCCCCTCAGGCTGCTTAGCCTCAGCCTGTGCAGGCTGCCATTGGAGACTCAAGGCAGGATGACTGTGTTTTCTCACTACATCCATTTCTGACTTACCTGCCTAGTGTACTTCTTCCTTAGCTCATAATTCAGGAATTCCTCCCAGTGCTCTCTGCCTTACACAATACAAAGGTGCTTACTTGTTCCAGAGTATCCACATGAATAAATGACTGGAGAAGTCCGGGCATCATATGTGGCAAAAGAAAGTCCTAAAGATTACCTGGGCTTTAGGTGGGTCTTGCCATCTTACCCACCCAAAAGCATCATCTAAGGATTCGGAGTCATTAGACTGAAAACAACTATGTATATTCATCCAGCTAGCAAAGTATGATTTTGATTAATAAAATTACTTTTTTTAAACCACAACCTGTGCTCTTCAGTGTCATTGTGTGCCAATTTGGTCTCTGCAATTGCCATCTTTTAATATACACATATATATGTACAGATCAAGGTAGTACATAGTCAAGAACCAATTTGTGTGCCTCCAACTAATAAAGAATATATATTATTGCATATGTAATATGTACAATACATATTACATATTCTAGCATTGTATAATATATGAATGTTACAAATATTATTTATTATTGCTTATAAATAGCACATGTTATGTATTAGTTATGAATGATTAAATATATATTATCTGTATGTTATTATTATTTTAAGGTTCACCCTGGGAAGGGGAGGCAGGCTCCTCTCTCCTCTCGGCTAAGTCTCTGCCCAGTACCTGTGTCACTTAAGTAACTGGCACACCTGGAGGCCACACCCTGGGCTGCCTGCCCTCCTCAGCTTCCATCAGGTAGGGGGGGGCAGGCCCTGAGGTCACGTCTGCATCCAGTGGCCACCCTTTCCCTCACCTGGCCACACCTTAAACCCCTTCCCTATTTAAACCCAGGTCAGACCTCAGCCCTTCCCTTTTGGCCATGACTCTTCACCATGCATGGTGGGGGCAGCATTTCAGTAAATAAACTTTTCCTGCCTGAATATCATGTGGCATACTCTATTGGCTACCTAATTAAACCTAGCATATTTAATTTACCTTACAATTATGTCATTTATAATTATATAATATTAATAATATAACAGTTGGAGGTACACAAATTAGTTTGTATACATTATATAAATATGTTTTTATATAGTATAAATATATTTTGCACTAGTTGGAAGTACATAAATTAGTACTTGACTATATACCCCTTTATTCTGTCAATAGTTTATTTGGCTATGTTTCATGTGAGTGAATAACAAATAAAAATTATAGGGCTGGGAAGTTGGCTCAGTGGTAGAGCGCTTGCCTTGCATGCATGAGGCCCTGGGTTCAATTTCTCAGCACCACATAAGCAAAAAGAAAAAAGCCGGAAGTGGCGCTGTGGCTCAAGTGGTAGAACGCTATGCTTGAGCTGAAGAGCTGAGGGACAGTGCCCAGGCCCAGAGTTCAGGCCCCACGACCGGACCCCCCCGCAAAAATTATAATTTTCTATGTGGACGAATTTCTTTTTATACATCCTTCACTCTGCCCCTAGCACACGAACTCTATTACAGAAACTCTGGAAATGGTGCTTGTTGACTGAAAGAGGCTATCAGCAATGTAAAACTCCCCAAGAGTAGACCTCATTTTTCCTTTGAGTTCCTAGTTTTTTTGGTGTGACTTGCATAAGTAATTTTGAAAGAAATAAAAAAAATCTAGTTTTTTCCATGTTGACAAAAATTAAATATAAAAGAATTTAAATATGAAATTAGCTATAAAATAAAAGTATGAAGATGGCTGTCTAATTAGAAGCTTAGTCTCAACTATGAAATTAAATATAAAATACCAATTAAATATGAAGATGATGGCTGTCTAATTTGAAGTTTAGTATCTGCATCTGCACGTGAAGAGGGAGGGCTAGGAAAAGGCAGTGTGCTGTTTTCTCTTTACTAGGTCCGCCTGTGATGGCTGTCATTGATTCACAGCCTTCAGAGCAGCATACAGCCGGGTTAACTGTTCTTTAGAACTTCAGGTGGAGGTTGAGCGCTGCGATGCTCTGCTGCAGCTTCTCCGCATGTTTGGGTAGATGCTGAAAGCTGTGCTGGTTTGACTCTGCAGTCTAAGACTGTCACTATTGACAAGCTCTGCATCTGTTTCCAAAGTTGCCAGGGCCGTCTCCGATTTGTTGCCGAAAGGTTTCACATCTTTGGTTTTTGTGGCCCAGGCTGGGAAGTGCTTTTTCCTCTCTTTTGGGTCTTTGGGGGGTGACAAATCTTCCAGGGACCGCTGGGATGCAGACTGGAACCATTCGGAGTCACTGGTTGCAATCGTTTTTTGCGTTGCAAAAGGGGAATTTCTGAGTCCTGTGCATGATTTTCTAGAGCTTTTTAGATCTGGGCAAGTAGCTGGATTTATTCTAGAAAAGAAATAAAAAGTGTTTTAACCCAACGTCTAGCTTACTAGGTAGCTACTAGGTAGTGTATGAGGACTAGGAACAGGCCGAATTTTTCTCTTCGGTGAGTTTGTCAACCTTTAAAAACTTTTCACCATCTTTATAAGAGCAACCTAAGTCTTCATCTTGATTTTTTCTAGCACTGCTTAATCTTGTGTTTCTAAATTCCCAGAAGTTATGTTTATTTGAATATCAGGCCTGATCCCAGCCTTCCTGATTTAACGAATACTTAGCTACTTACCTACATACCTGTTTGTTAGAATACATTCATTATGCATGCTATAAGACTTTCTTTTTCAGTCATTAACCAGGTCAGTAGCCCTAAGGAATGAGTTTACCCAAGAGAGGAAGAGATATTGGACAAGCATGATAGCTTATACACATAATTCCAAACTACTTGAGTGGTAGAGATTTGGAGGATCACAATTCCAAGCCAGCTCAGGCAATAAACAAACAAACAAACCTCCATCTCAACGAAATAAACTGGGTAGTACGCAGTGTAAGCCCAGCTATAGAGTTGGTATAGGTAGGAGAATCACGACCTGAGGGCAGCCTGGACAAAACTGTGAGCAGACCCTGTTTGAAAAGTACCAAAAGCAAAAAGGAACCAGGCATTCGTTACTCAAGTAGCAGAATGCCTGCCTAGCAAGCATTTGAGCCTGAGATCACCACCACACACAAAGGAATCAAAGAGTGAGAGCATCCATACATTATTCTGAAGAAATAATAGAGGCAAGTTTGAATGCACCCTTGACATGTTCTGGATCTCACTGTGTCCACAGTAGGCTTGAACCTAACATCCTCTTGCCTCAGCCTTCCAAGGTGCTAGAATTACAGGCCTGTACCTTCCATAACTGACCATTTCATATTTAGTTTTCAAAAGAAGCTTCCAACAGTATATGAGATATCCATTTTCTCTGCATCCTCAACGGTGTTTGATAATGTTAATTTTACTTTGGCAGTGATACAGCTCACTGCATGTTTAAACATCTTTCCATGTGGATAGGTACCATATGTAAATGTCTATTCCTGCTTTTGCCTGTTTTCCAAATGAAATGCTTGAGTTGGGGAGTTTTTTTTTTTTTTTTAATCCAGGTACTAGTTTTTGCTCATGTAGTTTGCTAGTGTTTTTGCCCATTTTTTATTTTGGTGAAATCCAGCTTATTCATTTTTCCTTTTATGAATTGTACTTTTAGTTTTAAGCATAAGAAATCTATGTTTTTGCCAGTCCTGGGGCTTAAACTGTCCCTGAGTCTCTCTGTGCTCAAGGCTAGCTCTCTACCACTTGAGCCACAGCACCATGTTTGGCTTTTTTGTTTATGTAGTACTGAGGAATTGAACCCAGGGCTTTGTGCATGCTAAGCAACCACACTACCACGAGGCCACATTTCCAGCCCCTGTGATCTGTTTTGAATTAATCTTTTTTTTTTTTAAGGTATGAGTTTAAGTACAGCTTCCAAGTTTTTTGGACCTGTGAATGTCTAGTTGTTCCATAGGCTTGCTATAAAGCCCTCTTTATACCATTGGATTGCTTTTGCATTTTTGTTGAAATCAGCTGAATATATTTGTATGGGCCTATTTCTTGGATCCATTCATGTCTAGTCTTAGGTCTATGCATCATCCAAGACTACATTATATTACTATGGTATGAAAAGTCATAAAATCAGATAGGCTTGTTTCTACCATGTATTCTTTCTCAGAATTGTTACTGCTGGTTTAGTGCGTTGGCATAGAAATTTTCAAATAATCTTGTTTATATCTATAAACAGCCTTGCTGAGATAGGCTTGGGGGTGGCTGGCTCAGTGGTGGGATACTTACCTGCAGTCTGAGTTTGATTCCTAGCAGCACAAATGAATGAATGAATGAATGCGTACAAGAATGAAATAGAATTGTATTGACTTACTGATGTTGGATCTTGAAGTTGGTTTTGGGGTTGAATAGATTTTTTATCTGAGTTTTTTCTATTTGTCTAGGGCTTTCCATGATAGGGAGAAAATATTCCAATATTTCTGTAGTTTGAGCTATTTTTTTATCCCTGTAGATTGTTTTTTCGTCATCTGTCCAATTCATGCCAGTCTTTTTGCTTTGGGAAGCTGTACATTCTTTTACTTCGCTTTTGGAGTTGTGATGCGCATCTGGGGAACAACCACACACAGAAAAATAGAGACATTTGAACTACCTTTATTCAGCCATTCTATATTTATACAATTGTCTACCATGGATTTCAATCTAAAAGTCTTTCCCATTGGACTTTATACTCTCAACTTTATACTTTTATAACAGTGGGCAGAAAAACAACTAAATATTTAGTATTCAGATAACAGTAAAATTTATATTAAAATAAAGCTGTGGGGTAGGGGAATAGAGGATTCTTGGAGGATATTGATTTCCATTTTTAAAATGGCAGTAAGGGAGCTAGGGGCTGGTGGCTCAGACCTGTAATCCTAGCTACTCTGGGGGCCGAGATCTGAGGATAACAGTTCGAAGCCAGCCTGGGTAAGAAAGTCCACGAGAGTCTCATCTCCAATAAACTATTCAGAAAAAGCTGAAAGTAGTGATGTGGCTTAAGTGGTAGAGCACACAAAGAAGCTCAGGGATAAGCATCCAGGCCCTGAGTTCAAGCCCCAGGACTGGCAAAAAAAAAAAAAAGCCAGTAAGAGAAGACTTCCCTGTAAAGCTGATCATGCATTTGAGTTATGAAGTATGTCAAAAAATATCAGAGGAAAGAACATTCTAGACGATAAACAGTAAGTGGAAAGGCCCTTCACTGAGGCAGCATCGTGGCAGGGTGTTAAGCAGAATGAATGAAGGAACAAACTATGTAATCTGAAGGTCACTTGAATTCAACTCCCATGGGGGCTCCTCATTCACGGGAAGGATTTCCATTTCTATTGACTACGTAATGTGAAGGTTTGGAGATGGGGTATGTGTTACAGTCTGAGATTTGCTTCTCACTGAGTTGAGGAAGGACTAGAACAAGCAAAGATTTCCAGAGGGAGATCTTTTGGAAGGTATCTAGAGGCAACATAGGAGAACGGTTGGTAGTCTGGATCAGTAGGTGGAAATGGCTAGAAGGGTAAGAAGTGTGGTAGGGTTCTAGCTAACTTTTGAAGTTTTCTAAAGAAATGAATGTGAGATGAGAGAGTAAGAGCAGAATCAATGGAGGCTCCAAAGCTTCTGAGCTGAGGGAATAGAAGGAGTTATGGGGAGGTTGTAGGAAGAGTAAGTTAAAAGGGCATGCCTTGTGTGTGTGTGTGTGTGTGTGTGTGTGTGTGTGTGTTGGTATTGCGGCTTGAACTCAGGGCCTACCATTCTCATTTGCCTTTTTCATTCAGGGCTAGTACCCTACCATTAGATCCACATCTTCAGCTCTGGCTTTTTGTGAGATGAGTCTTACAGACTTGGAACTATGATTCTCAGATCACAGCCTCCTGGTAAAAAACAATCTGATTTGTGGAGCTTGCTTTAAAATACTCCAGGAGAGCAGAATCTTGGATAACTACAGTCACAATATTCAATGTACTTAGGCGAAAATAGAACCAGGTAACTTGCGAGGATGGCTGGAGTTGGGAGAGATGGGACAATGAAGGAGTAACACTGCTCAAGATGCGTTGCACTCATAAATTGATGTCTTGAAGTGAAACTGCTTTGGACAATTACAGACAATAAAAATAAACTAAAATACTCTAGGAAAAATGTGGTGAGGAGAATAGAAATCAGAGTAGCAGGAAACTGATAAGGGTGGGTGATGGATATCAGGGAACTCATTATTCTCTACTCTGCTTTTGTTTATGTTGGAATACTTCCACAACAGTTTATTTTTAAAAAGGAATTGTCTATTATTAAAAGGAAAATAAACAGAAGACTATAGCACTCACTGAGTTGAACTAAACCTGAAAGACGATGAAAGGGACAATGTATGACTACAATCTTTGGTGTTACTGGAAAATGCCATGAATTTATCTGTAGTGTCTTCAGAAGCTTTTCCCAGGCTACTCAGCCACAGAACACTTACTACATATATAGCTGTCACTAGGTTTGGCTTGACAAGTGAATATGAAAAGAAGAATCCTTGTTTTCAATATACTAAAAGTCAAGATGAGAGAAGAGCATAAAGGTGTCCATTAGGATTGATTTCTATAGAGAAAGAACTTGTCAGTTAACCTGTTTACCGGAACAGAGGATCATGGATGAAGAAAGCTTTCTGAACTAAGTTGTATCTTGATGGTTGAGCAAGTCACTGAGTAAAAAGGAGGATAGTGACTAGGATGGAGGAGCGCAACTGGGGGATAACAGCTCTGGATGAGAGTGGCTCATCTATCAGGTAAGCATGCAGAAGGGGGTCCAAAACTGAGGTCTTGCTTGAGATGATAATACTTTCAAGAGATTCTTGTGACTGGTAGAAGCTTAATACAAATGTGTTTGCCATTGAATATTGGTGGGGCACTGAATTTGTTTGGTTGGTCGTAGAGCTTGAACTCAAGGCCTGGGCACTGTCCCTGAGCTTCTTTTGCTCTAGGCTAGCGTCCTACCACGTTGGGCCACAGCTCTACATCTAGTTTTCTGAAGGTCAACTGGAGATGAGTCTATAACAGCCTTTCCTGCCTGGGATGACTTTGAACAATGATCCTCAGATCTCAGCTTCCTGAATAGCTAGGATTAAGGTATGAGCCACAGCACCCAGAAGGCCCTGAGAATTTTTGTTCAAGGAAATGGTATACCAGATCTGAGATTTTAAAATCACACTGATAGGCAGGTGGATGGCAGGCAGGCCAAAGAGAGTGACAATAAGTCGGCTAGACAAGTTAGGAGGCAAATGCAGGAATTCAAGGGACGCAACAAAGGTCTCAGGTAGAGCAGTGCATTCTGGTGGTGAGAAGAGGTTCAAGAGGATCTTTAGGTATAAACTAGATAAAGCTTCCAAATGTTAGATACTCTACAGGTGTGTAGAAATTCAATCGTGAGAAAGGACAAATTTCCTTGTGGAAGAAACTGGCTGTTAATAAAGATATGACATTTTAGAGAATAATGCCCACCTTAAATGCAATTATTATATGACAAGAGAAGAACATCATATATGCATATATATTTATATGTATACGTATATACATATATCCTTTCTAAAAGTGCTTTGCTTTAGTAAAAAAAGAAAATTGCAGAATTTTTATGAGTATTTTTATCAAGATTCAACAAGACATTTGTCTATACAATAGTCAAGAAGAGATGGGAAACAAACCTCAGAAAAGACAGGGAGGGCCTGAAAAGCCAATGTTTTCATTCAATAATCTTGTGGAGACAGAGGTGGCACAACAACACTTTATAAAGCAAGCAAGTGAACAAAGGAAATTTATAACAAAAAATTTCATAGCAAAATTTTGTAAATATGACCCCTCTCAGCTTTTTCTCCTCCATTCTAAAACACACTCCAGTCACACTGCTGCTGCCTGCAGCGTTGTTTCCCTGAACTTCCTCCGATCAGAATCCCCAAGAATCTCTATGTTGTAAATTTCACTAGTCAGCCCGCTTGGATCGGCCAATCAGAAGCCTCAGAAACAGCTGTTTACAAAAACAGCTCCCATCATTCAGGTTTTATAAGATTTATTAATGATGTTACAGTATTTATTAAAAATATTAAACAATATTTTCTTTTTTTAAAAAAAACCTGTTGGTTTGCATGTCTTCTCTATCCAACTGGAAGGCTGATTGCTCCCAGGATACTTCAGGGATGTCACTTTGAGACAGTTTTCATAAAAGTCAGTTCCATGGAACTCAAGTGCTGTCTGGATGGGCGTCCTATAGGTTTTCAACAAATGTCTTTCTTGGTCTTTGCTAAGACTCTTTATCATGCTTTTGGAGCTGAAAGAAATTGAAGACTCGGAGGTCAGTGTCGGCAGGGTTGTGCTCATGCAAAGAGCATATAATTCCATGTTCTATTTGTATGTTAACTCTCAGGGTGTGCATCTACTTAAGAGTTCTCCCCAGTCCTGTGATATAGGACAGGGTGGCCACTGCGATTCCCATTTTACTGAAGGGGAATGGAACACATGAGTGTTAGAGACAGCAGCAAGTCCTAAAGTTTCCCCTTTTAACTCCAGTATGTTTTCTTTCTTCTTTTTCGTAAGGATACTGGAGTTTGCACTCAGGGCATTATTCTTGCTGAACAAGAGCCTTACGACTTAAGTCAGATCCTCAGCTTAGCTTTGCCACTTGATTTATATCTCTAGCTTTTTTAGTTTTCATCACTTTGTTTTTTTTTCCCCTAGAGTCTTGCTTTTTTGTTGGGGGGAGGGGTGCAGCTGGCCTGGATTGCAATCCTCTTATTTACATTTCTTGCATAGTTAGGATGATAGGCACAGCTTTTTTTTTTTTTAATTGATTGAGATGAGGAGAAGGGGGGTCTTCTAATTTTTCCTGGGCTGGCCTCAATCCTCTCAATACTAGCCTCCTGCGTAGCTAGGATTATAGGCCCAGCTTAACTCTGGTACTTTTTCTATTACTTTCTCTTATCTTGATATAATATTGGATTTCTTCCCATATGGCATTCTAAATAGTTTATTTTAAAAATAAATCTCCTCTTTAGAATGGTAAATCTAGATCCAAAGTATGGGTGTGCCTAGTGCTGCCTCCAATACTGCTCTTGTCCCTAATTTTTTAGACTTAGGGGGCTAAAAGAATCCCATCTTTTGATAAGAACCACTTTATTCAACAGAAACCAAACTCTTAGGATAGAAGCCAACTTCAGTGCAATTCTCAAACGCCATAGGGATCTATTTACAACACGGTTCAGATAATTATTTATACCCATGTGCCTGAGGACAAAGAACCTTGCCAAGTATGACAGAGAGACATAATAATGACTGGTTCAGACAGAATCACAAATGAATTCAAAAATTCGTTTTTCAGTTTTTAGGTGCTAGTTTTATCCCTCCATGGCCAATGTTTGAGACTGCTATAAGACCTAAATGTTTTGTTGCTGGCCATTCATGCATTCTAAAGTGCTAAGTAAATTATGCCAGAAAGTCTTCTATTTTGTCATCCAAGCTATGTGAGAGGCTGAGATTGGGAGGATCATGGTTTCAGGCAGCCAAGGCAGAAAGGTCCAGGGACTTTCTCAATGGAAGAAACTGTACCTGACGGAAGTATTGGATATCCCTGCTATGACAGGGAGCATCAAATAGGTGGGATCACATTCCAGGCAAGAACCCAGGCAGGAAGAGAGACTCTATCTCATAAATAATCACCATGGAAAAGGTCTGGAGGTATGGTTCAGTGGTAGAGTGCCCACCAAGCAACCCCAAAGCTCTGAATTCAAACCTTCGTACAACCAGAAATAAGAAAGAAATAGAGACTCACTATGTAATGACTAATTCATATAAGTAAATATCTATCTGTAGCTCTTAAGGTATCCACTAGGGATGGTTTGAGGATATTGAAATGTCAGAACCCAACAAAATGCATCTATGGGTATATTTACATAGAAAAGTAACCTAGACACAGATAATGTAGACTGTAAAGAGATAGTCAACTAGCAAATGGTTGTTAAAAAGAAGTCATTTTAACTGATGCTTTAATTTTAAAAAATATTATAATACAGAAGAAAATAAATAGTCTGGCAGAAGAAATCATATGTTGCTCTCTTACCTCAAATATGTTTTTAGGAGACAATTAGAGGCTTTTCTAACTGTTCTTGCTTAAAAAAAAGAGAGAGAACATGCCATAAAATATCTGCAGTTTTAAAATCAACAACACTTACTGTTATCTTGTTGACAATTGTTTTAGTCATGAACTTAATGGTTAGCTGAGTCAAGCTTATTTTTAGTTGGCATAGTATTGTCTTATTCACATACATGAAATACATAGTACCTATCTCTTATTTTATCTTCTTTTTTTTTTTTTTGTCTGTTGTAGGGCTTGGACTCAGGGCCTGGGCGCTGTCCTCAAGCTCTTTTGCTCAATGCTGGTTCTGTACCACTTTGAGCCACAGTGCCACTTCTGGTTTTTTGGTGGTTAATTGGAGATAAGAATCTCCTGGACTTTCCTCCTGGGGAAGACCCTCAGATCTCAGCCTCCCGAGTAGCTAGGATTATAGCTGTGAGCCACTGGCATCTGGCTTATATCTCTTTTAATTAAACATTTTCTACTAAGGAATAGAAATACCTATCTAGTAACTCAATCAATTAAAACTGAATGCAGTATGTTATGATCTGTGGAGGATGTCTACATGAACATTAAAGTCACCAACTTTTTAGAAAGCCAATCTAGGATGCAGATATATCAAAATAAGTATAAAAGGATAATGTGTTCTAAGTAATTATACATAAATGTTATTTTACTTTGAAAATAGTTCAGACTTATGTATTATTCTGTATTATTTGCTTTGACTATAAATGTATATGTATATTATTAATTAAGCAAAACAATAGGACTAGTTAACAGAAGCAATCATTAAAGTAGAACAAAGTAAACAATATATGTGAGAAAATTCTTATATTTCTTCTGATACAGATTTTAACTCTTTGAGATTCAGATTTTGTAAGCTACAGTATTGCATAATTTAGATATATAAGACCTTTTAAATGGTGAATATAAATACAGAAGAGCTAATTAAACTGATATTATATATATGACAAATTAACAATGACATGTTGCTTTCAGGTTGTTTTTTGCTGTTTCCTTTTCCAAAAATATCTCAGAAGTCTACTTTTCTTCCTTTTTTATGTTTTCTTCTTTTTTGTGTTGTTACTGGGGCTTGAACTCAGGACTGAGGTGCTGTTCTTTAGCTTTTTTGCACAAGGCTGCTGTTCTACCACTTGAGCCACAGGCCCACTTCCAGCTCTTGGGTGAGTTAATTGGAGATAAAAGTTTCTCAGGCTTTTCTGCCAAGGCTGGCTTCAAACTTCAATCCTCAGGTTTCAGACTCGTGAACAGCAAAGATTACAGGCATGAGCTAAAGCACCCAGCACCACATACTTTTCCTTATTTATTTCCCTAAGTAGTTTTATGTGTCGGTCTACTTGCCATTAAAGTAACATAGACATTTATTTATTCCTCCCCACTCAGGTTGAACTGGTTTGACCCACTACTAATGCAATACCACTGACACTAGATCTCTTTCATTATCTGGACTCTTAGAGCACACTCACTGGGTACAGAAATCAGAAAAGTTGATAGGCCATATATTCGGACTGGTTTTCCCTATGTATTTCTAGAACTAGAAAGAAAAATAAGTATTACGTTTCAGAATTTCTGAGAAGGTGAATTACTTGACTACCTGATTTTTTTATTTTCACTTTTTTTTAGCCTACCTTCTTAGTTATACAGGGAAGATTTCATTGTTACATTTCTAGACATGTTTAAAATATATTCCACTCACTTGATGACCTGATTTTAAAGTGACATCACAGTTCCTTAGATGTGGATCTTGATCCATGACATTTTATTCTATGGCTCACACTCAGAGGGTATTCCTGTTTTACTCACCCAAACTTTGATTAGGCAATGGTCTTCTGAAAAAATCAATAATACAGTCATCTAACCTTGCATCTAGAAAAGATGGTGAAACATCATAATACCATAAAGGTAACTTGTTTATTGATGTTTCTTAGTTTTCATAGTACTTTAAAATAAAAATGCTAACAATGTGTAGTTGTTTAGCTGAATGAAATTAATATAAACAGTCTTCCAATACAAACATTTGTTATGAATATGCATAACTTGTGGGCTAATAATCCTCATTCTGGGATTTTATCAGGAGATATAATTCAGAATATAGGCAAATGGGAATTTCGCTGTTTTCATTGTTGTTCATAATTGCTGAAGTTAGAAGTAACAGTTTACAATGAATAGCTGAGAAAGATTCATTAATAGAGTGGAGTGGCTCAGTGCCACTTACTTGCATGTAAAAAGGTGTATAATGTTCTGTAATTTTAAATGAAAAAGAAGGGTGCACAATAACAAGACAATTTTGTGACCATTCACATTTGAATTATTCTTCTAAATCTATATATGTGTTTTTTGACAAACAACGTAAAATAGTTTAAAATGTGCTTTTGAGGTAGCTTTAGTAATCTTTAATTTTTAACAGTAAAATTTTTCACAAAGTCATGTATAAAAATTACCTATTAAAACGTAGCTAAATTGCTTGGTTGATCACTATCAGACAAGTAAAGTTCAAGTAAAGCTCAAGTTAATTAACCATCTTAATTAGAACAGAATCTCCCCTTGGTTGTGGTTTTATTTCCATTTATATTTTTAAATTATCCTGCTGTTTCATAGAACAAATGAATCTACATCAATATATATATAATCAGTATACATATATATATATACATGTGACATAAATGCACAAGTTACATACATACAAAATTAAATAATTTTTAGATAGAATAAAAAACTGCTGAAATTATATGATTTTTTCCAAGGAACCTAATTAAAGATGAGCTAAAAGAAATAAAGAAAAGAATACCAGAAGGCCAGGCATGTTGGTTCACTCCTGTAATCACAGCTACATAATCTTTCTACTTATGTAGAAAGATGCCAGCACTGGGCAAACACATGAGACTCTATCTAACTAAGCATGAAGGTCTAGGAGTCAGACACAAAGTGGTAGAGGGCTTACCTAGAAGAGTGAGGCCCTAAGTTCAAACACCCTATTACCAAAACAATAATGACGAAACCTAAATACCAGAAACCTTAGGGAGTCAGTTAAAGAGACACACCACGCAGCATGGGCATCATATGGAAAGTGAACGATATGACTTCACTGGGGACAGGAGGGAAAACCTGGGAAGGAATGACATTGTCCAAGAAGAAATGAACTCTTTACTCCAGTAAGGTAACGGTAACCCCTTATAGCATCTTTATAATAACAATTTTTTAAACTGCAAAAAATACCCTCAATAAAATTTTAGAGAATTGCCTTAGAAAAAAAAATGAAAAGTATATGGTGAATTTCTTTCCTGTGATCATATACCATTAACTATGCGATGAGAGAAATAAAGTGATTTTGTTGTTGTTATTCTTTTTTTATTTTATTTTTTGCTCTGTGTGTGTGTGTGTGTGTGTGTGTGTGTGTGTGTGTGCGCGCGCGCGCGCGTGCATGCATGCGTGCTGGTCCTGGGGCCTGAACTCAGGTCCTGGGTGCTATCCCTGAGATTTTTTTTTGCTCCAGTTTAGTGCTCTACCACTTGAGCCACTGCCCCACTTCCAGCTTTCTGATGGTTAATGGAGAAAAGGATCTCACAGACTTTTGTACTTGGGGTGGCTCCGAACCTCAGCCCTCAGAGATCTCAGCCTCTTGAGTAGCTAAGGTTGACAGGTGTGAGCTACCAGCACCTGTCTTAAGATGGTTTGAATACTTGAAATCCCTCTATTTTTTTAAACTCTTACAGTACACTGGGGCTATGCTTCCCCCATGTAGGCCATCACCCGTCCCTCTCTGTTTCCTGGGAACCCTGTGTCCACTACGGCATTGCCCCTGTGACACGGGCTTGGCCGCTTGCTTTTCTTCCCTGACTAAGAACTGAGCTCCTGAGGCAAGACCGGGCCTTCATCACGACTCCTTCATCCCCTAGCTGCAAGTGCAGTGGCAGAGCCCCAGGCCGCGCAGCCTGCGGAGGGAGTGATTGCTTCCAGAGAGGGAGAAGCAGAGCCTTACCTTTCTTGTCAGAGGCGGCTTCTTCCAGTCTCTGCTGCTTGTTTTCTTCTCCATAAACCTAACGGAACGGAGAAAACAAGGCTGTGCCCGAAATGTGCAAATGAGACACATTTCTTACATGGCTTATGGGCATGATTTATGGCTTTTAAGGAACACTTCTCGCTTTACTACTCTGGCCAAACAATACTAGGCACATTGGATCTCCAGTGTCTGACCACACAACTTGCCTACCGTTAGTGAACAGAAGCTGTGCTACCATGTGTGCTTAAAACTGTTTCCACTTGAGCCAGGCGCCTATAATCCTAGCTACTCAGGAGGCTGAGATCTGAGGATCACAGTTTGAAGCTAGCCCGGGCAGAAAAGTCTATGAGACGCTTATCTCCAAGAAACTACTCAGAAAAAGCACCATGGCTCAAGTGGTAGAGCTCTGGCCTTGAGCAAAAAGAGGCTCAGGTCTCGTGCCCAGGCACGATTCTTCACAGCAATTCTTATATAGAACTTAGAAAGAGACAAAATATATCACATTTATTTAAATTAGAAATGAAAAATGTAAAAAGTGTGGAATGGTGGAAATACATAAAATTGTATAGAAAAAAAATCTATGAACATTGAAAAATTGTGCCCATACACAAATGATGAAAAAATATTTTTTATGATGTTTGTAAGGAAATCTGGAACAAGGAAGAGCCATCATCAGGACCCATGGATTAAAAGACACTAATCATGGGTAGCCTACAGATCATTATGTGACCCTGCAAGCAATCTAAATGTTTCAGAGCTTCTGTTACTTTACTTGTCATTTTAAGAATTTTCCAGGAAAGATCCGAGGATGAAACAAAGAATTTAAAGCATGCTTGCAACTTGTCACATAGATTTGCATATAAACTTGCCAACTTGCAAATAAGCTCAATACCAGCACTATGAAACAGACTCAACAATGGGTATGAAAGCATACTTCTGTAGCCCCAATTACTCGGGAGGCTGAGGCAGGAGGATCATTTGGTTCCAAGAGTTTGAGACCAGTGTGGGCAATATGTTTATCACCTTACACTTCCGGCCTTAATTAATTAGGTTCCCAAGGAAGCTAATTAAAGATTTCATTTTTTTCCCCTCAGTTCTTATTTATTTCTTCTTGAGATCATGGGTGCATCTGGTAAGACTCCTCAAATGCTTTTAGAATAAGTATAAGTGAAATTTAAATATGGCAGCTTTTAGAACCTGCTTCTCACATGTCAAGGACTTTTGAGTTTTTATAAATAGCAGTTAATATGAACCAAAAAGATGTTCATTAATAACCTTTCTTTGGGGGAAAATAGGGTATAAAAAGTATAAGGGAAAATAACTTGCCCTTTTCTTACACTTACTTTTTTTTTCAAAACACTTAAGAGGATTAATAAATAGTCACCTCTTTTGTGGCATTTTGGCAGCTTGCCATCACAGTGTTCCTTTCCTTCTTTGTTTTCAGATGTTTTTTCTTGTTTGTTACCTAGGTAAAAGAATCCTGTTTAAACATCACATCAAGGACTGTACATGTACATGTACTGTCTTGGATTCCCACCCAGAAGGAATGTTCCTTTTCCTTCTGAGGGAAACCAAGTGCCCTAGAAGTCACACACAAAGCAAACCAAAGAGTAATTAAAAGATGATGAAGACTTAGTCAATATGTCACCATGACTGGAGATGTCAAACATATACACAATGAAATTCCACAATTCTTGCCCCAAATGTGTGAAGTCCTTGATCTGATCCCCAGCACCCCTCAAATTCTTTCCCCAAGTTATTTTGGTTTGATGAGTGATACATGCTTGTTCTAGCTTATTTTTGGTGCCATTTCTTGGGCTTGAACTCAGGGCAAGGGAAGTGGAGATGACTTTCAGACCCATGAGTGAAAAAAATGAAAGTTATGAGCTACTAAGGTTTTGAGGCTGTTAACACACCTAGTATAGCCTTGGCTTCCTTCCTGGCTTCCTTAATGACTACATCTTCATCTTAGTAACTCCATCCCAAACTACAATCACCATAGAAACTCTCATGCTTTAATTTTCTCTTAAGGAATTTGTCCTAACCTAACACCATCATATAGTCCACTTATTTGTTTGTTTATTGTGTGTTTTTCCTAAGCAGATGATAAGATTACAGAGGGAAAGATTTTTCTCATTTTGTTCACTGCTCTCTCCCTAGCATCTAGACAGTGCCTGATACATAGTTGGAGCCCATTATGGAGCTGAATAGTAAATGTGCAGGTGAATAAATAAATAGGAGACTAGAAGTCAGGTGAGGCTACCATCTCTGTCAATATCAAGGGGTATGGCTTTTGAGAAGTAACTTAATCTGTCTGGATCTTAATAGTCTCATCTATAAGGGAAGATGTTAGAATAAAAAAAACCCCTAAGATTAGAAAAGACTATGATTTAAAGATATGCACAAGTCAGTAAAACAGTTATATAATTATAATGATGTAATTGCCAACCTTTTAATTGCCTGACAATTAGCAATAAGCAATAAGCGTACCCATCCCAAAGCAAAATCTTTCAATCCTACCTGTGAAGTTAGCTGGAGAAGGTAAGTTTCACAATCATTGGAGTCAGAACTGTCTGAGCCTCGGCTACTAAAACAAAACAACAATAATAATTTTAGTTATCAGAATGTTTTAGTGGCATCTAAGATCATTGTTTTTAATGGTCAGATAATTCTAATGACCAGAAGTGACTTTACCAAAATGATTTGGTGTTCAATGCCTCTAGATAGTCTGGAAATCTAGTTTTGTGGTTGTTGTTATTAAGCATGTAACTGGAATGTAAGCTATATTCATTACTTGGGAGAAAATGGTAACTGGCATATAGTAGGACTCAAAAAAATAAAGAAATGCTATATATCTTGGGAGTTTCCTAGTTCTCACGGGTATCTATAACTCTTAAGATTAGTTTACTTTTACATCGTTACATTTTCATTCAGCTAAAAGACAATGCAGCATCATCTAAAACAGCACTTCAAGAGAAGAGACTCAGCCAGATGAGACAGAACATGCCTGTAGTTCCAGCATTTGGAAGATTGAACAAGAAGATTGTGAGTTCAAGGCTAGCCTGGGCTACCATGGTGAGTATGAGGCTAGCCTGGGTTATATAAGGAACAGAAATAAATTAAGAAAGAAAAAGAAAAAGAAAGACAAAAATGAAAATGAAAGACAATCTACCTCTACTTGTCATTTAATGCACTGATAAGAAAATACTATTTGCTTGAAAAGAAATCAATGAAAAAATATTTCTGAGATTTGGTCTCTATACATAAACTAATAGAAGGCATATGTAAGAAGTCAGTCTTAAAACCAATCTCAGTGTCAGGTAGATTCAGAAATTAAGTAAGAAACCTTACAGCCAGGTGCTGGAAGCTATTCTTGTAATTTAGCTACTTGGAGGAGTGAAGATAGAAGGATGAATGTTTGAAGGCAAGGCAGAAAAGTTCATGAAACCTCTTTCAACCCATAGATAGGTAAAATAGCATGCATCTGTTTTGTCACCAGCTACATTATATCTGGAGGATGATGGTTCAAGGCCAGCCAATGCAGAAAAGTCTTAGAGATGCCCTCTCAACAGAAGAAAGCATGTGCCTATGATCCCAGAAATAACAAGGCCCGAAGTAAGCAGATTGCCCCTTAGCCATGCACTAGACAGGAAATGAGATGCTTTGTTAAACAACAACAACAACACATGTACACCATAAAAACACAGCAGGAGGAAAGCATGACTCAGTGTTAGAGTACCTGCCTAGCACTTGGGAGGCCCTGGGTTCAAAACGCAATACCACTACCACAAAAGTAAGGAAAGAAAGAAAGAAAGATATAACCATAAGAAAGCCAGGCTTGGTGGCTCGTGTTTATAAGCCCAGCTACAGAGGAAGCTGAGAACTGAGGGTGGTGGCTCAAAGCCACCATGGCTGTAGACTATAAGACTCTAATCTCCAACTCACCAGAGAGAATATAGAAATAGAGGTGTGATCAAGTGGGAGAGCCATGAGCAGAAAAAGCAGAGCAAGAGCATGAGGGCCTGAGTTCAAGCCCCAATACCAGCACAAAATTAAAATGAAAGGACCGTGAGGATATTACTAACAGTTGTATACCACACTATGAATAACTTAGAATAAATGTATGAATTCTAGAAACACATAACTTGAGAAGTTAATGAAAATAAAACAAAAGTTTGAATAGAGCTCTTATTAATAGGGAGATTTAATTTGTAATAAAAAAAAACCCTTTCAGCACCAAATGTCTCCAATATTGAGTTCTACCAGATTAAAGATGTCAAACACAGCTGGGCATTGGTAGCTCACACCTGTAATCCCAGCTACTCAGGAGGCTAAGATCTGAGGATCTTGAAGCCTGTGAGACTCTTCTTTCCAATTAACTAATTAAAAACTGGAAGTATAGCTTAAGCTCAAGAGGTAGAGTGCTAGCCTTGAGAAAAAAATGCTTAGGGAAAGCACCCAGACTCTGAGTTCAAACTCTAGTACCAGCTCACATGCACAAAAATCTTTAACAAAATTCTAGCCAACAAAATTCACCAGCACACTGAAAGGTCATTCACCAGGAGGCAGACACAGGGAGAATCATGGTTTGAGCTACATGAGCAAAAGTTCATGAGAAGCCATTCTCAACTAATAAAAAGCTGGGCAGAGTAATATGCTCCTGTCGTCCTCACTATGATAGGAAGTCTATGTTTCCAGTCTGGCCAGACATAAATATGAGACGCTATTCAAAAACTAAAGCTAAAATGGCTTGGGATGTGACTTCAGTGGTAGAAAACCTACCTAATTAGCATAAGGCCTTGACTTCAAACCTCAGTACACTAAATAAATAAATGAAATAAATGAATGGATAAATAAATGAATAAATAAATTAATGAAAGAGAGAGAGGAGGTGACAATGATATTCTAGTAAAGAACATAGTAAAGCAAACTTAACAAAAAAATGACTTACATGATCTTGCCTTACCTAGACTCTAGATCCAAGGAATTTTCTATGACAGAAGTATCTGAATCTTCAGGGCCTTTTTCCAAGCTTATATGCTTCTCCATTTCCTCTAATTCTTTCAGACACTGATAGTACTAGGGAAGATTATAAATGAATTCATTACTAAAACAACTTTGGCTGGCCACTGGTGGCTCAGGCCTGTAATCCTAGCTACTCAGGAGGCTGAGATTTGAGGATCATGGTTTGACGCCAGCAAAGGCAGAAAGTCTGTGAGACTCTTTGCTCCAAAAAGCTACTTAGAAAAATCCGGGAGTGGTGCTGGAGCTTACGTGGTAGAGTGCTAGCCTTGAGCAAAAGAAGCCCAGGGACAGTACCCAGGCCCAAGGACCAGCAAAATAACCCCCAGAAAACCACCACCACTAAAAAGCAATTTGGCTTTCTAACCGAATGAGTTGACTATTTGTAGACATTTGGAATAAGAGTTATGGTGACTCATAATCACGGAGACCCCTGGAGCTATTAGAATCGTTAAGAGGAAATATCTGTTCCTGATGGCTGGTGGTGAGCTGAATGGAAGGACTTACCTTACTCCGGTCAGGATCACAGTAGTCCAAGAGAGAGTCACAAAAATGATAGCCTATCGACTCCAAGTCTCGGGTGCTGAAATGAGTGCCCCGTTTATTACCTAAAACATCAATAAGTTTAGCCACACTTGAGGATGACTTCATCCTTTTTGTTTTTAATCAGGAAGGCCTATGTCGCAAGGGAGCACAAAGGAAACATTCATATGATCTGTAGTATGTGTTGTGGCTGGTCTTCAACAGTGGGCTTCCTGTCCTGGCCACCCCTGGACCCCAGCTGGCTTCCCACACATACATGGATGTGAGAAATCCGTACGTAAAGAAAATCCACAATGTGATGCTGTTATGGGAGGTTGAGTTACCTGTTAGGAACTGCTGATCACCATTACTCAGAGAAAAACTGGGGTGAAGACTTCATAAAAAATGTTTTAATCATCATGAACAATGCTGTACCAATTTCAAGGTATCTTAAAATCTAGGCAGAAAGTACATGTGTAGGATTTTCAACACTTTCTTTTGAGTTGATTCATTTTTTTCAAAAACCAAACCAAGATACACATTCAGCTTTTCTTGATTTTTGAGACAGGGTCTTCTTATATATCCCAGGGCAATTTAGAATTTGTCATTATCCTGTCTCATTCTCTCAAGTGCTGGCATTACAGGCATATACCAGCATGCCGCGCTTGAATTGATAGGTCTTCTCACAATGTGAGAATTAAATTATCATGGACTATTCTAACTACATTACTACGTGCTACATCTGAATAAAAGTCTCATGTCTGAAATGAGACTACAGAGGACAGTTTTCTTTTTTATTAGTTCAGAGAACTAAAATGATTTTTAGCATAGGAAATTGATGAAGAAATCCTTACTGTTTGTCTTGCAAATAACAAATGAGATTAAAAACATTGCATTGGTTTTTACTTGAAATCTCTGGGAACTCCTTTTTTTTTTTTTGTCATTTGTGGGGCCTGAACTCTGGGCCTGGGCGCTGTCCCTCAGCTCTTCAGGATAGCACTCTACCACTTGAGCCACAGCACCACTTCTGGCTTTTTCTGCTTAAGTGGTGCTGAGGAATTGAACCCAGGGTCTCATACATGCAAGGCAAGTACTCTACCACTGAGCCACCTTCCCAGCCCTGGAACTCCTATTTTTTTTGGGGGGGGGTCTGGTTGTGGGGCCTGAACTCTGGGCCTGGGCGCTGTCCCTCAGCTCTTCAGCTCAAGGCTAGTGCTCTACCACTTGAGCCA